CCCAATGGAACTAGATTTATATATACACAAAGAAAAGCAGTTCTTTAAAAGCTGGATCCCTTTTTTGTTGCCGTGTATACAGTACAATGAGTGCAATAAACTGAGGACCAAGGGAAAAATAGAATGACACCAAACCTTTTTATGTGGGTATGGAATGAGACCTCCAATGTATCGAGATCCTCAGTGAAAGGGAGTCAATTTTAAAAATTTTATTATTGTGACATTGCTGAAGTAACTATAATAATTTGCAGAATTTGAAAAGTGCAAATTTTCTTAGAAAAGCAAAGAGATGGATTTATGGACCCTCAAATACCAGATAGACTTAAAATATAAGTAAGTAGTGTCAATGCTTCTGGTCACAGAAAGACTCACAATAGTAGGATGTGGTAAAGAAGACGATGAGAAGCCCAGAGTGGCACAGATATTTTGTGTAATGGTGGTACTTTCCACTTTGGTAATTTTCTCCGTGGAAGGACACAATACTTGGTCATTTCTGATGAAATCTTATCGGAAGGAATTAAGGGGTCATAATTCTTTCCATCATGGCCCCTTAATAGGATAAGGGGACCTCCCCTCCCTTAATCTGTTAGTTGGTCTAAAGACATTACTGTAGGGTAGCTTCTGAGACTCAGGGCACTTCTGTGGAAGGAGCAAAGAGCAGTTTTGAAGTATGCAGCAGGGGGTGGATTTGGTTTTATATGAAGAAAATATATATATACCTGTCATTTAAATGCTACTCAACTAAAATTCCAAAAGATGTTTTGGGATTAGATGAAAGCAGATCCTGCTCAACATGACTTTTCATGGAATTCTTGAGTTCCTAAATGCAGAGATGTGGAAAAAAGGGAATAGATACCTTGATGGTAGCTTTAACCTTCCTTATTAAATAAACGCTTCTGCAGCCGCACCATTACTGATACCTTATATTATGCTCTTGCAAATCCAGTGATTAAAATTTGTAGGGTCTCCCCCCCCCAAGGTTTAAAAACTGCTGTTGAAATGATATGAAAAATTTAAAATAAAAGTAAATGCCACTTGGCTGTGTTCTAAAAGATACATGGATACTGTCATTCTGTTACCCGGGTGAAAGGAGTTCTGGGAAGCTGATGGGAAAGTAATAAATGGCAAAGTGAATAAAGGCTGTTCTCTGTTCTTCCTGTTCTTGACGTGGACATGGATAAATAGGAACATTATGAGTCATTTTAAGCAATCATTTTGCATGCAAGCCAGAGAAGTGAGGTCAGAGACTCAGCTTTATAAGGAGAAATAGTTAACTTTGTTAATGTATTCAAATGGCAAAGGAGGAACCTGGATCAATGAGGTATCATGGGCTGGGAAGAGGTGACTTTACAGCATAAAGGAACTTCTAGCCAAAAAAAAAAAAATTTCTAGTGTAGACTTTTTAATAAATATGATAAATTTATGAGCTTTAGTATGAAGGAAAAGAACAATAATAACCAGAGTAAAAATCCTTCATAATGGGATGTTTTTGGGTCATACTGCTAATTGAGTAACTTAGACAATGATAAATTATTCTGAAGCCCTCTCTAAAGATTTGTTGAAAGCTGTCTATTTCATTTCCCCCCTCATTCAAGGAACTGAGAAAAGTCAGAAATCATGAAATTATAGTAAGAACGACAGCCTGGAACAGCAAATGTTTTTTATTCTGGGTGCTTGAGAACCCCAGGATCTACCAAGTGTCTCAAGCATTTTTAAATAGAAGCTATGATCACAGCAAAAGAGTGTTCATTTATATCTCTTGAAAATGTCTCTGGCCATTGGGGGAAATATGCTCATTCCTCTTCATTTTCCAGTTCCTAGCTGGAACCAGTTGCCTATGGCAGGGGGGAGAGGAAACAGGGCAGCCAGTGTTGTTGGCATCATTGGCTCCCTCTTCAGCAGCACTCTGTCAGTGCTTGCTCTGCCATGTGATGTTCCAGGAACTGTGTATAGAGTGATGGAAACAGCCCCTGCCCCCACAAAGCGTACAGTCCAGTCAAATCCTCTTCTTCATAGCCTTTAGGACTCCACACGTGGTGCTAACCTGAGGAGTCTCCTTGGTTTTCCCACTAAAACTGGGGGGAATTAAGGCCATTTTTTTCCCAGGATCAGACTCATAGGCTACAAACTCTCATGCTGTCAGGCTCTGTGAGTTATAAACCCAGTTGTCCAAGCAAAAAACATCTGTCAGCTTTGACAGGCTCAAGCTTTTCCCTAGCCTCAAACATCCCAAACCTTTCTCTCTCTCTCTCTTTCTCTTAAATATCACTTGACTCAGCCTCTGCGTCCCTTGTGTCCTTGTCTTACCTCACTCTCTCTCACTTAGTCCCTAACTGCCTTCCTGCCTCCTCTCCTAACACCCCTCACCCATCTGCCCTTCCCACTGTGCTTCTCTGCTGCTAGGGTTACCTTCCTAAAATATGAAACTATTCATGTTGTATCCTGCTAATAATTGTCAGGGGGCCCTAACTTCCTGGCATGCTTAAAAGGCTGCCCTGGCCGGCCTGACCCATCTCATTTCCTGCTGTTCCCTGCAAGACTTTAACTGTGGACATTGTCTTTTTACATGGATGCCTTTTGCACCTTGTCTTTCATATGAACTCATATCATCCCTAAAATCCTGGGTAGCCAGTCTCTCCATCCTCCATCTGTCTATGTCATTGTGTGTATATATATAGAGAGAGACATTTTGTTATTATTTGTTTACATGTCTGTCCTTCCTCTTAAGGTGGGCTTCTTGAAAGAGGGGCAATGTATTTTCTGTTTATGTATCTATAATGCTGTACCTGACATTTCACAATGAGCTAAAATATACCAGTTTGTCATAGGGTTTTCACAGACTGCTTCCATCCGCTTAGTTTAATGAGACAAATATGGCACTCCATAGTCTACTTGCAATTTTCTAGGACATCTAGATACCATCAAATACCGGAGATATTCCAGCAAAATCGAGATTGAGAGGGTCCTTTAATATCTTATTGGTCATCACTCACCAATCTGAATACTAAAGAGTTCTATAACCTTAAAAAGTTTTAAAGCCTCTAGCATTCACCTATTGTGCAAAAGGTGTTATCTTTTAATATTACTCCTTATAAAGATTTCTGAGGATATATATTCCAGCAAGCACTTGTTAGATGGCCGACTCAGATCTGGGGCACCCAGTTGTTTCTCATCCCAGGACTCCTCTGCTCGCCCAGGTAGTACTCCCGAGATCCTGTGACATCAAGTTTCCTCTTGGGACAGTGGTTGCGGCAGCAGCAGCACCTGGGGCCTGATTCGGCCATCCTCCGCACCACCCCTGATGCTCAGTGCCTCCCAACCCATCCTCTCCCAGCCTCTCCATCTGGACCCGCACTCACTCCCCACTACACAGCTGAAGCCACAGAGCACTCCCTGTGGACTCCAACTACACCCTCTTCATCTAAAAAGAAAAACAAAAACCTGATGAAGCACTTGGCCTTGACGATGTGAGAATGCAAGTGGAGCGGACCTCCAGCTTTGGAGGCAGCACCGGAACTGAGGACTGTGGTGGGGGTCGTTGGGAACTCCTGGGAAGACAGGCTGCTCTCCTGCACCAGGGTACAGGGGCCTGAGAGGGCCGGTACTCAGGGATCCTATGCAAAAGATGACTCTAGGTTTGTTGGGAGAACAGTGGAATGAGGGCCACTGTGACAGCCTACGGAGCTTTGTGGCTGCAGAATTTGGGGACCCCACATGGAGCCAGGGGAAAAGCTGACAATAGTTTGTTTTTGAAAGGCCCACTTTATCCACAGAGACATTATGGTTGTCACAATGCAAAGAGACAGATATATTGGTTGTATCTATCTGATGCCAGTTACACAAATGATGATGATAATGAAACGTATTGAGTGCTTACTCTGTGTCTGGTACTGTGCTAAATGGTCTATATTCTTTATGTTATCTGTTTTTATATAGTATCTCAATTTTATAGATGAGGAACCTGAGGCAAAAGAGATCAGGTAATATGTCCAAAGGCCCAGGGGTAGTAAGGGGCAGCCAATAGAGCATATGCTCTTATTAAATCATGCTGAACTTTGAAAAGGAAAAAAAATTCTACTTCTGTTAACTGTAAATAGATGCTGAAATTGGAAAGAAAAAACCCCTCCTTTTGTTATCATGGAAACAGAGTCATCTGCTAGTTTTTCATATAGGTAATGTGCTATTTTTTGTTTTTTAAAATTCCCAACACCTATTTTTATAAAGGCATAACTTGTTTACACAATGAATTTAAAACATTTGAGTAATTTCTCATCTAGGAAGAATAACATTTCTTCCTCTTGACTGCTACAGACTCCTTGAAATTCTAGTTGGTATTTGACAAAGTTTTATTTTGATTGGACTACAGAGGAAAAATGCTACATGAACCACAAGCATAGTAATTTGTAGTTCTCTTTGTGTCACAGCAATTTTTGTAAAATAGAAATTTTCGTTTAACATACACAATCTATGGCAACAGACACAGAAACAGCACTTGACTCTGGGACCCCCTCCATGCTTTGAAATCCTAATGGTATCCAGAGCTTCTGCAAGCAGACTTACTTAATTCTGAGAAGCGCACTTCCTCCTAGCTACAGCATTTTTTCTTCCAAATTAAAGTCAAAAGCTAACTTGAAAACTGAGTAATATTTTCAAAATCAGCAAGTAAATATCATGACATGAAGCAATTATAGGACCATATATAAGATATTTTAATCATAGAATTATGATCATAGTAGTGTCTGGTTTCAAAGTAACCAAGTGCCTAAGATCAGATGAAATTATTGTTAAACCTGTGCTAAGCCTGTCTTTGCCAAAGTTGAACAGTTTTATTTAGACCAATTGGGTAATTAATTACTTGGGGGACAGTTTAGACTCAGAGATCTCTTGACATTATCTTCTTAGATGATTAAGTGAGAAATAAATGTGGCTAAAAGATGATCAATGTTTTTCTTAACTTTTTTCAGTTGGAGGATGTGAAAAGAGGTCTTTTTGTTTTTCAGCCTTGCCTTACACCCAGATAAAACTCTTGTTGCAACTGGCCAAGTTGGGAAGGAGCCATATATATGTATATGGGATTCCTATAATGTCCAGACTGTGTCTATTCTTAAAGATGTCCATACACATGGAGTTGCCTGCCTGGCTTTCGACTCAGATGGACAGGTGTGTATCTTTTTCTGTTTCTCTTTTCTTTAATAACTTCTCACAAGTCACCTAGAATTATAGAGCCTACAGGCTCAAAGTCTATCAACGCTTGCTGTCTCCTCTTGGCAGCCTCCTAGAATCCTCAACTGTTTGATCCTTTTCCAAGCTTGGGCACTGACACTCAGCCCTGGATAGGCCTCAGTTTTGGTTCCCCAAGTCTCACGATCTGGTTAAAAAGTTTCCAGAAAGGAAGTCATGATAGGGTCCATCATGACTCAGCAATTCCCCTTTGTCTTCCATTGTTAGCTTCCTATTTGGAATAAGGATTGGACCAAACCTTTTTCACAGACCTCAAACCCTGAGCATCTCCTTGGTTCCCCTTGCTTTCAGAAGATAACATCACCTCCTAATAATTCACTGAGAAGATTCTCTTGGACTCTTTACCTTGAGGTCACTTCTAACTCCTTCTCCCTACCCACTCTCCCCAGTTCAAGCCGTGACTGATTCGTGTGTACTTATTAGTTTCTTCATAGCAACTCTAACATTCATCTTCTCCTTCCCATTCTTCTGCCACCATGCATGACAGTTTATGTAACCTCTTAACTGGTCTCCACACAATTTTTTGCTAATACATTTCACCAACTGAAAAAGGTGTCTGTGCATTGTTTAAAAACAACAAAAGCTGGAAGTACCCACGAATGAAGTCCTTGCTACGTAGCTGGGCATTCTAGGCTAACCAACTTTTCTAGCCTTCACTATCCCCTTGCAGTCAAATTGGACAAGTCAACAAGATTACTCTATGACACCTGCACTTTGGCACCTGTGGACCCGTTCTCATGCTGTCCTCTCTACCTCAAGTGCCTGACTTAACCTATTTGCTCCTTAAAGTGACTCATTCTTCCAAGACACTTCAAAGGGCTTCATGACGTCTTCCCAGTTCCCCCAACAATGTTCCTCTCTTTCTTTTGACTTCCAGCAACAGTCGGCAGAAAAGACTTGTTAATGTGTTATAGATATCAATTATATCTCATAAAAAATATGTTATAGAACAGGGAGTAGAAACTAGGAGGATCATTCCTGGCTTCCACTGCATTCACCTCCTTGCTAAGGCTGTGCCTTTTCCCCACAGCCTTCTCCATGTTCCTAGGCTACCTTCCTCTGTCTCTTTCACCCTCCGTATTTCTGCCAGTTAATTCCTTCAATACAATTTTTTGTGAATCTCAGAGTTAATTCTGTAAGTTCGTGGCATGGAAAGACCTGTGAAATTGTTCATAAAAGTTTGACCAAACTGAGAGTTCACCGGAAGTTCAGTGGATTTTAAGACTTGATCTGGTTTAAGTCACTTTTTAAGCAATTAACATTTACTTGGTGTTTTCTGTTATTTTGAGAGAGTAGTGATCATTAACTGTTCATTTTTCTTTCTATAACTAGATTCACTACGTATGTAGACTCCTGATATATACATTTTTGATTTTGCTATTCTGTAATCTCATCCAATTTAGTCAGGATAATGCATATATTCCATTGTATATTCACATCTAAAGAGAAATAGCTGGATAGTGACATTTGTGCAGACTTGTAGTTATTGAGTTCCTGACTAAATTGAATGAGTGTGTCAGAGTGAAGAAGCAAGTACAAGTGTACATTATGCTTAGATGTGTACTTATATGCACATTCTCTAATTTGATTTTGTTTTTCTAGCAAACATTCTTTTTCAAAATTTGTTCTGAAGCATCGCAAGAAAAATGTTATGTGGCAGAGGGAAATCCAGCTTTAATTTTTAGGTCTTTGTCCAATTATTTTGTGTTAGAATCCTAGCTATTCTCTCTTAGGTTCCATTTTGAAGGGTGAAGGTATGGACTGCATGGCACTTAACTGTCAATTGAGAAAAATAACCTCCTATTTGTTTGCCATGGTGAATTTCATGGCTTGTTGATGCCTGTTGCTTCAGGTCAGCCTTATTCCCTGGACAGTGTTCACTGGAATCGAGTGATATTTAGAAAATAACAAATGGCCCTTCACTTCACAAGCAACAAAAGGCAATAGAAATGTTTTCAGGTAGCTGTGGGGCCTCTCACTACAAAGGAACAAAATAGATTTCTTTTGTTTTTTTCTCAATCAAGAAATGTGGGTTTTACTTTAGTGTCCATGTGTATGTTAACTGCTTTTTCTATTTTTTTTTAAAAAAGCTGAATGGAATTCACCTACTTCAAATTTCTGTATATGGACCAAAATACAACCGTGTGTTATAATCATTGCTGGAACCCTAAATTAAAAATCACAACAAAGACCCCCTTTTCTTAAGGGCACATTTTAAAACCTCCAGCTATATAATTTTTGTACTAAATATTCCTAATGGAAGCCATCTTTAGTGAAGACACCTGAGTAATCCCTGCATAACAAAATATGTATACATTTAGCCACACATGGCTGTCTATCATTCTGTCATATGTCATACATATGCACACACATATACACACACACACACACACACACACTCAGATGTACTCGGTGAAATGCATAAGCTCAGATACTCTTAAGCTTGGGTAGTACTATGTTTTTAAAACCCTTTGACTTACATTATTTCACTGATCCACACAACAGTCCTACTAGGTAGACAGACAAATATTTTATACTCATTTTACAGATGAGAAAACTGAAATTTAAGGAGATTAATTAGTTTTCCAGGGGCTGGCTACTCTCAAAGTCAAAAAAAGAGCCAAATCTACTTGCTCCCAGTCCAGACCTCTATCTGTTACACAGTGCTGTTTTCTTAGAGGTGGTGTGCTGCTGGAATCTGATTTTGGTGTTCCTAACACTGGACACTTTTGATTTTGTGTATACTTGTATGTGTTGAATTTTCTTTTCCCTTTGAGGACAAGTTCTGATCTGAACCCAAAGAATTTAGACTGAGAGATGAAGTACCAGATTACTTTTATTAAAATTATGTATCCTTCTTAATCACTTTCAATGTTTATGAAATTATGAAAATTAAGAAGAATGAAAATAAGGTTTACTTCTGAGATTTCTTCTCTATGCATTTGTTAAACCCTTTAATTTTAGAAGTTTGGTCATACTTTTAGACTATAGAATCCTAGACTCTCTTAAATCTCGCACTAAGATCTTAAATGTAAAAATCTGAATACTGCCTTCAAGTTCTGTTCCTGTGATTTCCACTGATTAACCAGAGACTTCATCAGACTTTGCATGTTTCCTATGCTTAAGAAGGACAAATGAGTTGTAGTTTTCAGGTTTTTGAAATTTCAGGATGTGTTAATGGAAGTCATCTACTGTGATATCTTTAGTTTTTGCTTTAAGATGGATTTTGAGAAATCATTTTTTTCATGAGAAGTTCAATGCTTGGCCCATAGTAGGTAATCAATAACCATTTGTTGAAAGAAGGCGTGGATAATAGGAAATCTTCCCATCATTTTCAGCTACTAAATATGGTTCTTATTCTTAGCGTTTAGCCTCTGTGGGATTGGATGCCAAAAACACAGTCTGCATTTGGGACTGGAGGAAGGGAAAACTTCTGGCCTCAGCCACCGGCCACTCTGATCGGGTAAGAAGAACTTGTTGGATCAAGCCATGCAGATTTCATAACTGGGGGGCAATTGTGATATAGCTTCTCATAGTTGTAATATTTTTAAAAGTAAATTTGCCACTTGTAAATTTTTCCTACACATTGAACTTTAAAAACTTACTGTTTTTAAAAATTAATTTCTGATTAATAGCTATGTTGGCATGAGCTCTTCTGGTGGTCAGATGCTTTATTTAAATTGTTAGTGCTTTTCATAGGTGAAGCAAATTTTTGATACTATCATTTAGCTTCTTCATAAAGCCAAAATAGAATTGAATTTGAAATTATATGTAAAATTTAGATGTATTCATTAGGCGATGGAAATCGTTGTTAGAAAATAATATTCACAAAATGTTTACAAGTGTATGCATTTGAATTTCAAATGAATGTAGTGACAATTTTGTGATTCTTTGTTATATTTGAAACATCGAATGTAAACTGTGGCTTGCTTATCATACATACTGAAGTCAGTGTGATCCGATATGATAATTCCATGTAGTCAGAGCTGGCAAGATAGGAAATGAAGATGACATATGCATTAACTGGTTAGAAATCTATTTCTCCAGCGTCTTGCATAATTAAAAAAATTTGCCTACTTTATTGTCTTGATTTTCTAATTAAGAAAAATGAATTTACATGACTGTCTTACATTGATTCCTAGTTGTTTTGTATTTCTGCACAATGTAAGTGTCCATGTAGAATGAGGCTCTAATTAAATATTACGTTCACTGTCTCTTGCTTAATGTGAACTCTAAAAAAATTTTATGTGAATGGTACATTCAAGTAGGGAGAATTGTGGTTTAAGGGGACCCCATAGTTGTTGCTGCACATTTGGACTCATTGTACTTGAGAATTAAATCCTCAGAAAGTCTGGGAGTGACCAGCAATGGAACTATTGTGTTGGAAGAGGCCTGGCACCGCTCTGTCCCAATGGCTCCCACCCCTGGCTACACACGAGAATCCTCTAGGCAGATTTTACATCATAATGATGCTCAAGTTCTACCCCCCAGGTTTCTATATTAACTTATTAGTATTTAACTGGTATTAAGTTAATATTGAATGAACAGGTTAAAAATATATGCAGTGCTTACATTTTGGATATTACTGTTTCTGCTTATGCTGTGATCCCATTATGTCTTATAAAGTAAGTTGAATTGGACTGGATCGATAGGTGAATTTCTTACTGCTTTGTTAGTATATTGTACCCTTTCCTGTTAGAAGTAGATTGTAAAAAGTGCAATGCTTCTCTAGTGAGAACTCTGTGATTTAAAAAGCCTAGAATGTTTTAATGAAATACTGTTCTTTTAGAACACTGTTCTCCTAGAGCCCATAATTTGTATCACACATAGTTTTTCTCTTTATAACTGATGCCAGGATGAATTATTATTGGCTGCTTATGGGCAAATGATTATCTTTAAGATATTTTCGTGGCTAAATACTTAATCCCTAGCACTCATTTGTATGAGTGCTTCATAGCCTGCGAAATGATCCTACATACATTATCCTAATTGACATGGTAACAACTGAGGTGGTATCATTCCTTTTAGAGAAGATGAGGTTAAGGTTAGAGATACTAAGACTTAGCTGAGCTCGCATAGCTAGAATGGGTACTTAGACCACATGCTCCTTCTTCAGTGCTCGTGCTGAGGTCCATAATTCCTCCTTCCTACCTAACAGAAGATTATTGGTCCTCCTTCTCTCTCTGATGATTAGTCCATATTGCTCCTTCCTATGTGATGAGAAATTAGCAGCCTAAGCTCTTTCTCTTTCTAGACTCTAGCCCTGACATCTGGTCCTTCTGTCTATTAGAGATGCACAGAGTGTGGTCCATGGACCACTTGCATCAGAATCTCCTGGGACCTGTTTACAAAGGCATGTGCCTGGACCCGTTTTCAGACCCACTAAATCAGAATCTCTCAGGTGGGCTGGGGGAATATGCACTTTAAACAATTGCCACAGGTAATTTGACCCTCAGTGTTGACAGAGAGTCTTCTCTTCCCTGGTCCCCAAGTGGAAATATACATGCAAACTGTCTGGTAGCTTTTCTTAAGGAAAAGTTGTGTTAGCGGATGTTTTCAGTTCATTGGAGAACTGAAAATATAATGGTATTTTGGGTGAGATTAAAATGATGGCCTAAAGGACTATTTTGGGGGGGCTAAGTTAGTGCCAGATAAATGCCTCTACCTTAGTTTAGGAATATCAACTTCTGTGATTACTAAAAACTGTGGGCAACATTGAATTGTAATTGACTATTAAACATTTTCCTACTTAAAATGAAGCATTTTATAATTCTTTTCATTTTATTGTAAAGCTATCACAAAAGTATTTTATTAGCATTGTGGAGAGCTATAGAAAATTTGATAAAAAAATTATCCTAAATCATCACAATTTATTTACCCCAGATGGACAAAGTTAAAAATATGACATCCGTTTGTTCTCAATGATTGCGGTTATTATCTCTCTTTTCAGGCCTAAGGGAAGTAGACATGAGGTGATAAAATCATCCCCAGAACCAATCCTGCATTTTCCAGTCTGTGTAGGTAGCATTGTGTTCTAAGTGTTAAGATAGAGTCTTGGCAATTGGACTGATATCTGAAAGAAGGCCAAAACACGTAAATGACCAACATGTCAACTTTTAATTTTTTTAAACAGATTTTTGATATTTCCTGGGATCCATATCAGCCAAACAGAGTGGTTAGCTGTGGAGTAAAACATATAAAGGTAAAGTAGTGTTTTTATAAATTTTTGGTACCTTGGATGAAAATAATTTTAGGTGTTTTATATATATATAATTTGGTTTTGAGAAACTGCTTGATTTTACATATTTTTCCTTAAATTTAGAGCCTTCTTACTTGCTTCTCTGATCTTGAAGCAAGCTAACATCAGCTGATGGGGCTCTCTTTCAGAAATGCAATGTAGAGACAGTGAAGTGAAGTGCTCAACAGGTAGCTGAAAAGGGAACTTTATGTTAATTAAATACTAAACAGAAGACTCATAATACTTCTGGGATTGCATATTTTAAAACAGTTCTGATTTTAATTTGTGAATTAAGTTTTCACATTATGATGAATGTTTACACATATTGCATGATTTCTTCTCTCAGAAGAAAGATGCCATGTTGTGTTGGGCCTAGGTAATAGAGGGATACATGGTACAAACCTACCTGGGCCATTGGTTTCTAAATGCCTCTGTCTGCCTCCAGACTGCACAGCCTGAAAGACTGTTAGTGGCCCAGGACCTACCTCTGCCTATTTGCTTCTTTCTATTTTGTTACACAGGTAGCAAAATTAACACCATCAACATCATTTGCTCCGTCATAGCAACAGTTTCTCCTGGACCCTGGGATATGGCCCAGGATCTTCTGTATAGGTTTATAGATAATATAAATTAGAGTCTACCAATAAGAGTATAAGGATTACTTGCTTGGATAGAGCATGTGTGGATCTCTGTGGGTACAAAAATGCTGTATTTCTGTACGAACAGAGAGAGATCTATATTCTTCCAAAAACTCCTCCTGGTTCCGAGTTCTTTTATTCTTCTTTTAGTCTAGTTTTTCCTGATCTTTCCCATTGTTCCTTCTTAATGGTTAGAAAGGGACAGATGGTAAAATGCTCAGAAACAAATTTAACAAGAAATATGCAAGACTTATTTAAAGAATATTACAAAACTTTACAGAGGAAGATAAAAGAAGACTTGAACAAATGGAGAGACAACCTTGATTCTGGACATGAAGTCTAAAAATTATAAATGCATCATTTCTTTCCAAGTTAATTTATATTTAGTATGAGTTCAATTACAATCTCTAAATTTTGTTGTTACCTGATAACATTTCCCTTTAAGTTATTCTAAGTTAATCTGGAAGAACAAAAGAACGAGAATAACCGAGAACTTTGGAATAAAAAAGAATAATGAAGAGGAATTTGCACTACTATTTACTAAAGCATATTAAGAAATTACAATAATTAAAATGGTATAAGAACAGGATATGTATGAATAAACAACAACAAAACAAAGCTGAGAAATAGACCTTAATGTGGATGACAATTAAGAATATAATAATTGTATTTCCAACAAGTGGGCAGTAGGACAATTTGTTATCTATTTATTTGGGGGGAAAAGTTAAAAATTATTACTTCATACCATACACTAAAATAAATTCTTTATGAATTAAAGAGCTGGATGTTAACAAAAAACTAAAATAACTAGAGGAATATATAAGTAAATGTTTAACTGCTCTCAAGTTGGAGAAAGGCCTTTCTAAATGTAAAAGCAAAGTAAGAAACTATAAAGGATAATATTATAGACTCAACTATATAAATATTAAAGTGTTCTGTCTACTTACACCCTACCCCCAAGAAACAAGAGACCAAGGCCGGCCCTGTGGCCCAGTGGTTGAGTTCGCCCGCTCTGCTTCGGCGGCCCAGGGTTTCGCTGGTTTGGATCCTGGGTGCGGACATGGCACCATTCGTCGGGCCACACTGAGGCTGCGTCCCACATGCCATAACCAGAAGGACCCACAGCTAAAATATACAACTATGTACTGGGGGGATTTGGGGAGAAAAAGCAGAAAGGGAAAAAAAAAAAGAAACAAGAGGCCAACGACAAATGAGCAAAGCATAAGCAACAAGCATGGCAGTTAGATAGAATGTTGGCTTGTTCTTGAAATGTAAATACCTATGTAGCAAATCTGTAGAACAGATAAAGAACAAAGACAACGAACAAAGACAACCAACAAAAATAGAAACGTTGGCTAATAGACATATGAAATACTAAATCTCATTAATAATTAAGGAATAAAAGTTTTAAAGTAACAATGTTTTTAATGTATCAAAATTATGGTTAAGATATATCCAGTGTTGGGAAAGATTTGGTGAATGAACACTCTCAAGCCTTGCTAGCAGAGGGGTAAATGAGTATGATCTTTCAGTCCAGAAATTTGGCAATATCTATCACTAACCTTAGAAATGTTCATACCCTTTGAGTCAGTAATTTCACATCGTGGAATTTATCCCAAGGAAGTTGTTAGAAGTGTGAACCAAACTCTGATTTATTGCTGAATAACATCGGTAGCTAATAAAACCAAACAAAAGAAAACCTGAAACCACCTAACTGCCCCAGGTGGTTAAAAACGTATAGTATGGCTCTATGAAGAAATACTGCGCAATCATTGTAAGTCAGGTGCTAGATGGTTAATGTTACTGGGAAATATTCAAGATCTGTTTACAGTCTACTTCTGAGTGGGGCAAATTTGTGGCTTTTATTTTTCTACCTAAAAAATAGACTATATTTTTGTGTAGGAAATAAATTGGAAGTATATCCCAAAATGTTAAATAGTTATCTCTTGGTAATGATTGATGGATGGTTTAAAAATTTTCCCTTTTATATTTTCCTCCATTTTTAAATTATTTTCCGATAACATATTTTACTTCTAAAATAAGAAAAAAACGAGACAAAAAGATAAATCTATAGATTACACTATTCAAAGGTCCAAGATATCCTACCAACACCTTCTGGCTTCCTAAAATTTTGTAATCCCTGTGCAAAGACCTGATTTTCACCTGAGAATACCTGTATTTGCTGAAATACAGACACATTTTGCTTCAGCAGCAGTTGGAGGATCCTTCTGTATGTCTTTTGCAGCCCACCGGAAAGACCAGAAAACTTACTAAATTTGATAAACATTGTTGAGTTTGTCCCATGTGAAGGAATAAAAACTGACCCTATTTTCAATTTGCTTGAAGTTTAACGATTAAAAGATTAAAACAGAAAATTATGTAAGAAACAAAACGGAAATTCTCTAGGGATAAAGGAGAGATCCCGACTGGTTTAATGAACGTTAAGTGTTTCAGGAAGGGGATTGTTTTTGAGCTGAGCCTTGGTGAGTAGGTGAGTTTGGTGGGGACGTCTTGGAAGGCAGAGAACCCACGGGAGGGACCGCACTTCATTCGGAAGGTAAGAGGGCGGCATTGGTCACCCATGGAATCATGGGACTGGGGAGCAGAACGGCCACTAACATGTTCAAAGATTATCGTTATTAACATTTTCACCACCAAAGAACCTCTTTTCTTAACTTTGTTTCCAAGGGAACCAACATTTTGAAAGATTTGGGCCACAAAATACACTGTAGCCATTAAATATTGATTCCCTTAACAATTTTTATTAATCGCAGATGTATATCCGCCACCATGAGTTTCTAACCAGTTTATCGTGTGGCAAAGGTTGAGTTGTTCTTTCAGCCACAGCAAAGAAGCAGGTGAGCTCATGATAAGCCTGATTTCCATTAGGCTGTGGCGGCTCTCTGAAGTCTGGGACCCCGACTGGAGAGCCATCATCTAACCTGCATGTTCTACAGTGACGAAGCCAAGATGTAGGAAGTTATTTGATTTTGAATCCTGGTTTTATCTTCCTCTGCTTGACTCTGGGAAAACTATTTGATCTCCCTGAGGCTGAATTTCTCCCTCTCATCCCCCAAAGAAGGACCACTACCTTCTGAATTTGTTAAGTTACATTAAACAGTGTGTGGGACCAGCAGGGGCACAGTAACATTCAGGTTCTTTTCCCATTCCTGAGGCTCACAGATACGATTTAAACTCCGTCTCTGGCTCCCTGTGTAGAGCTCTTTCCACTTAGGAATTATTTTTTAATGATCTATTTTGGCTTAACTTTCTCCCCCCAAAACAGATTATTAAAAATAATAGATTAGTTGCTTAATTGATAGAATTCTCTGGCTTCTTCCCTATTTCTTTTCATCCTTGGGTAACTCTAACTTTTAATCAGTTAATTGTAAAAGCAGAGACAGATAAAACCCTGGAACTTCATTTGAAAATCCTAAAAGCTGCTTATCCTGTTAAATTTATTAATTGTGTTTTAAAAGACTTAGGTATTTTTTCTAAACAAAAACAAGCATTTTTACCTCAAATGCAAGAATCTGCAAATGCCCATCCAGCCATTCTTTATTAATTTTGTTTAGAAAGAAATCCACAACAAATTTCAGCAGGATTCAACAAATTATTTTCACTCTCCTGTATTTTCTACATCCAGTTCCAGGATCCCCACCTTTTTTCCCAAAACCTGTCTAACATCAAATGAATAATTCTAGTCACAAGTTGACTGTAAAATCTTTGCACTCCAAGGAAATATTTTGATGTGAAATTTTTGTAGCTAAAGTTAAATCGTTTCTAGTTTTGCAAATCCCCAGTGTTTGCCAAACAGGCAAATTACAATGATCTGAAATGAATGCTTGAAAAACAGTAGCAGTTGAGCATTGTCTGCTTGGTTGGTTTTACGGCAAATGAGTCTACCAGGTTTGTGGATATTGATCCTTCTCCAGTCTCTCGTCACAAACAGAAGGGACCCTGGGGATTACCTAGGGCCAGATGAGCTCCAAGGTAGCTGCCAGTTCTAACAGAATTTGCATTACAAGCTGTGAATGAAGATTGGAGAAGATAAGCAACGTCTCTTCATGTCATGTGGATTTAATGGTGTGTTGCTACCCTAAACTGTCACTGTTTTCCAAACAGGAAGTGCTTCTTAAGAAGAGAGAATCTTTCAGAGATTTGCCATTTTCTGCTGAAAATCTCATGCCTATCCTGGCATTACATCTACTTATGCCTTTTTAGAGAAAAATTTATTTGGAATGTTTTATGTTGGCATTACACCATCTGACTGGGTGATTTATCAGAAAACCTTTGTGTCTAAGGATAATGGTCTCTATTTTTTTTGTGGTTGTCCATCTAGAAATATTTCAGTAACTCAAGTGTCAGAGGTGTACGTCCCAAGTTAAAGGGATAATCATTACAAAATAATTAGTCTCCTTTAGGGATAATAATTACAAAATAAATAATTCTTTTTAATCTTCATGCATGGGGAGACAGTGAGAAGGGAAAATGTCTGCCTTAACGTCACCACAAACAGCAAGTTCTTGGCAGCCAGTAGTTGTTTACAGCTAGTAGTTTGTGCAGGTTCAAAGTTAGTACTGAAATATTTTCCCAAACTTATGCCTATCTTTTTCTCAGATCTTTTTATTCTTTCCATGTATACGTTAGCACCTTTTCGTAAAAATAATAATACCCAAAGAAATGAATCACCAGAGTTGACACTTTCCTCCTCAATGAAAGAAGAATCCCAGATTGTCTCATTGTCCTTAAGGGCCACCTTCTCCACAGATGCCTGAGTGCCGGCCCTCCTCAGTGCTGCAGCCGTCCCAGAACTGCTTCTTGAAGACCCAACTCCTCTGAGAAGACCACCATTTTTCCTCTCCTGCAGACACAAAATATTAGAGTTGTCACTGAATTTTCCTCGCACATTTCCTGTCCCCTGGGTTTGCCCAATCCTGTTCTCCTGAACCCCGACACAATTTCTTCCTCACCGCTAATCCAAATCCTACTCTCTTTCATTCCGATTAATTCAACGTGCTTCTCTATCTTTGAATTCCCTTGCTGCTTGTATGTAGTCTGAATATGCTGCCTTGAAATTCTCTCTTGTCTTATATGTGTCTTCTTCATTAGATTTAAAGTTCTCAAGGCAACGATCAAGATTTCAGTATTCTCTCATGCATGACCTCCATTGAACCCTTACCTTCTGCAAGTCGCGTATGCCTAACTCTTTCCCACATTTCCAAATGGGAGTAATAATATCTGCCTTTGCTAGTTCTCAAGGTATTTTGAAGATCAAATAACTTAACAAATGTAAAGAGTCCTTATAAACCGTGAGGGGATACATACATGGTGGTAAAGTTATACCAGTTCATACATTTAAAAGAATTATGTCAAAGCAAAATGTTTAACCTCTATATAACTGTGGAAATCTCCCTGCTGCCTTCTATAAAGTAGCTTAAGCTTCATGCGCATGGTCTCCTCATGATAAATTATGCAACTAAAACTGACAAGCCTAGTCAATTATTTGGCTACATGGAAATGTAACTCATATTTAGACACATATTTCTGAGTAACATTTCTACAGGGAAGATTTATAATATTTTTAGTTAGAAAGAAATTATTTCCAAATATATGTATATACACACACCAAAAAATGCCTGGAAGATATATCAACATGTTAACAGGAGGTTGTGAATAATTTCAGTTTCCTCTTTACATTTGTCTTTATTTCCAAACTTTTCTACAATGAACCTATACTGGTTCTATAATTAGACCAAAAAAATCAAACAAAAATGTCATTCATGCACTTTATTCCAACTCTGAGAACGTTGACATTTTATTTAAATCACCATTAAACAATTAGCAAAGTTTTGGAATTTTGGAACTTTGGAAGTTTTAAAAATGTCATTACAGGTTTTTCTTATGCTGCTACTAGTTGGCTCAAATATTTTGCAGTTCTCTGTTGGTTACAGTAAAACAAATTATGTGTGTGCCTAGTTCAGCTATAGCATATTAGGTAAACTGTATTGAAATATAAAAGAATAAATACCAATAATGTGATGCATCAGAATACTCTATTTTAGATCTGTTTATTTTATCACTTACTTTCTAGTTTTGGACTCTATGTGGAAATGCCCTGACTGCAAAAAGAGGGATATTTGGCAAAACAGGGGATCTTCAGACCATCCTTTGCCTTGCATGTGCCAAAGAAGATATCACCTACTCTGGTGCTTTAAATGGCGACATCTACGTCTGGAAAGGGCTCAATTTAGTTCGCACCATTCAAGGAGCACATAGTGTAAGTATTCCCATATGGGAATTTGGGGATGATTTATTACATAAGTTAAGGTCACAAATCTCTATTTTTTCCCATTGCTTTAGGATCAGCAGACTCTGCTGAACACTTCCTAAACATTAAAAAATTTCCAAAATTACTTTTTGTTCACTTAAAGGAAATAAATATTTCGAAAGCACAGTAATTTAATTAGCCTTCACCTCAATCGTTGATTGGCTGATTAGTGTTGCTATTCCTCAACAGTCGCTTGACAGAAGACCAGAACTATTTCGTCATCAGTTTCATCTTGTAGTCCAGCACTTCTCAAACTTCAATGTGCCTACAAATCTCCTGGGTATCCTGTTACAACATGGATTCTGACTCAGTGGGTCTGGGATGATGTCACTGCTTCTGGTCTGTGGCCCACAGGTTGAACAGCGAGGGTGTAGACAATTATTATTTTACATTGGTTAGTAAGGGTAGAATTTCCTCACTCCAAGTGAGTGAGCATCACCTCCACGTCCACGTTACCAGTTTACAGTTTACATTGATAAACTTCTCTCTTTTGATGGTCTGCTCTGTAAGAATATGGGCAAACTTTACTTCTGACCACTCTGCTCTCTTTGACATATATGAAAATAGTTATATTGCCATATCTGTGGATGATACAATGGAAATGCCCAGAAGAATGGGGAGGTAATGTGAAAGCTAAAGCCTATTATAGTAAATGGAAATTTGGTAACATTTTTGGAAGCTTGATAGACCTTTAGTTTATACCCTCCAAGTTGGTCCCCTATTACTCTTTTTTTTTTTTTTTTTGAGGAAGATTAGCCCTGAGCTAACATCTGCTGCCAATCTTCCTCTTTTTGCTGAGGAAGACTGGCCCTGAGCTAACATCTGTGCCCATCTTCCTCTACTTTATACGGGGGACGCCTACCACAGCATGGCCTTCTGAGTGGTGCCATGTCCGCGCCCGGGATCTGAACTGACGAACCCAGGGCCACCGAGGCGGAACATTCGGACTTAACTGCTGTGCCACCGGCCCGGCCCCCCCATTACTTTTAGTGTGAAGAAAAGTTTAAGCAACTCTTAGCAAAAGAGCTATAAAACTTTAGATCTCTCATTGTCTTAAATATTGAAGACCAATTTTCTTGGCTTTGCTAATTATGATCAGCTCTTAAAACAATTAAGCAGTCAGAGGCTGGCTCCGTGGCCCAGTGGTTAAGTTCTTGCGCTCTGCTGTGGGCGGCCCAGTGTTTTGTTGGTTCGAATCCTGGGCACGGACATGCCACTGCTCATCAAACCACGCTGAGGCAGCGTCCCACATGCCACAACTAGAAGGACCCACAACGAAGAATATACAACTATGTACTGGGGGGCTTTGGGGAGGAAAAGGAAAAAAATAAAATCTAAAACAATTAAGCAATCAATATTTGTCCTCACTCATAAAAGCAGCTGCCTTAGTAACCTAATTTCTCTTTACATTGGATCTTATGTCAACATTATACTCTTGTAGCATATTTGAACAGATCAAACAAGATATTTTCCTGTGGAAAAGCATCTTTAAGTTATGAAACTATTTTCAGATGTGAAAAATCATCTTCAAATGATGCTTACTTAACAAGCTAACACAAATCTAATTTATGCTTTCAATGAGGTTCAGGTGGTGCTCCCTTGGACTCATTGAGATGCAATTCAGGCACCTTTGTACCTGTAAAAGTGTTTATGTTCCTAGCCCACATATCTTTTACTTGATTATTTTGGGCAGCAATTTTTGTAAAACACTTCCATTGTCTTATTTTTCTTTATAAGGATCACATAAAGGAATTTATGATTTTCATATCTGCTTTAATCAAGGAATTCCTGAGTGATTTTTTCTTTTACAACCTGCTATCAGTTTAGAAATGGCAAAGGAGCACTTGAACTAGTTTGCTTTGGTGATTATAATGATTAATTTTTAATCTAGCTAAAATGAAGGATGTTATAAATGACTGCTTGGTCTATTGTCAGGATTTCAATAGAACAAGGGATTTGTTCTTATTTTTATTTTGTTTTTTAATCATCAAGAGCCAACTATAATGCCTATTTAGAATGGTTGCAGCATTGAGTATTACCTGCCTTCACCAACAGGCTGGAATCTTTAGCATGTATGCTTGCGAAGAAGGCTTTGCCACTGGCGGACGAGATGGGTGTATACGATTATGGGACACTGATTTCAAACCAATAACCAAAATTGATCTCAGGGAGACAGAACAAGGATATAAAGGTAATATATGTATTAATATTTACCCATAACTCTGAGAGTGTAAAATACGATGTAAAGTTCTGTATTTATATTTGTTTTTCCATACCCCATCTTATTCAACAACGGATTTAAGGCAGTTTACATAAATATATTGAGTACCAGATCAAAAATCTGTTAAAAATAGATAGCCCTTTTTCCTGATTTGCACAAAGATGTCTGTACGTACTAGCAGTGGCCCTGCTGCAAAGATGAACAACATAATGGTAAAACTACTGAGCGGTGCCCTGTGAGATGGGACTTTCAGTTATAAAACTAGGAGGTTCTGGACAAGTTGGTGAGCCTAAATGTGATTGCACCCCGCCTCCGAACATAAACAAACAAATAAATAAGAAATTGATATGAAAAGCAAGACAAAGAAATTCTGTATTAAAAATAGCTTTAAAATAATAGCTACCATAGTAGTGGGAGTTGAAAGCATGGGCTCAGAGTTGAGGGCCTGGGTTCAAATCCAAGGTTTATCCGTGATAGATTTGATATCTTGGTCAAATTTCTTAACGTCTCTGGGCCTCGGTTTCCTCATCTATAAAATGGAGATAATGCTAGCACTAACCTCATAGAGCTGTATTAAGATTATATACACTTGCAAAGTGCTTAGAATTAATCATGGCGCGTAGTCAGCACTTAATATATGTTAGCGATTATTACAACATATTGAGTCTGCGTAGCAGAGAATATGAAGCAGTGTGTGTACATCTTTTAAAATTCTCATGATCGGCTTATTATCTCATTTTACAGATAAAGAATTTAGGGCTGAGAGAGATTAAGGTGGAAAGTGTAAATAGGAAAGATAAGACGAAGTCACAAGTGATGTTAGTACACTGAGCACATGTGGGGAGCTCTGTTCATTTGTGGCAGGTGGGCTCCGGACCCGGCTCTTGGCTCCCGTGGCCAGCGCTGAAGGAGGGGTGCTCAGCACCATGAGTTGTGGCATCCACAAGATAAAAACTTACCCATCGCTCACCCGAAGGGGAGTTATTCCCAGTGCAGAAATGAGAAATTTCCTGAGAATCTTCCTAGGGAGGACTCTGTGAATGAAACCCAAAGTATTCAAAAGGCCTGAAGTGAGCTATTACTCACCAGGTTGTTTTTCATGAAGCCCCTTGATGCAGGCTAATGGCAGTGTGGTCAGAGAGATTCTTCCATAGACCAAATCACGTGGCTGTACTTGGAGCGCTCTGCTGGCCTGGGATAGATTTCAGAGGATGGAGAGAAGAATGCACAGACTACCTATTCTTCAGGCTATCTTCCTTAAATAATGTTGTTTTCAACCAAACTTTTCTTAAAAATTGAGCAACAGGGAAGTGAGCTGGATATTGTACTTCCTATATGTACCCAGAGTCCAGCTTCTTTAAATATCTGTTAAATACAAAAAAATGCATTTACAGTCAGCTAATCTGGAGATTGGATTGTTATTTATTTATTTATTTACTGGTGAGGAAGATTGGCTCTGAGCCAACATCTGTTGCCAATCTTCTTTTTTTTTTTTTCTCCCCAGAGCCCCAGCACATTGTTATGTATTCTTGTTGTAGATCATTCTAGTTCTGTGTGGGCCACTGCCTCAGTGTGGCTTGATGAGCAGCATGTAGGTCTGTGCCCAGGATCTGAAATGGTGAACCCTGGGCTGCCGAAGCAGAGTGCATGAACTTAACAGCTATGCCACCGGCTGGCCCCTGGATTGTTATTTTTTTATGGAAGCTCAGAATCCTGGTGCAGATCCATTTCTGAATGCCAGGCAAAAGGGTAGACATAGGGAGTTGTAGAATTTAGTGTCCACTTCAGTGCATCAAACAGGAGACAATCAGGGCCCTTAAGTTCTCTGCCGTAGAGTGTGGGCCAATGTAATTATATCCAGAAAAATACTTAAAGCGGATATAAGCAAGCAAGCACCCAGGATAGCAATGTAAAAAATGTTAGTAAAGCAGCCAAAAGTGTTTGACCTTGAACCGTGAAACTTCTTCCTTCAAGGTAAACTGGGAGCAAAACATAAATAACTGGTGACTTAATGTACTAGATGAGATTATTGACCATAAACTGGCTAGATGTTGGGGAGCATCAATCAGAAATGATGATTCCTTTTTGGCAGTCACTTTATCCAGCTCATCCAAAAATTGTATAACATAATTAAGGTATAAATCTTAAAGTGTGGGGATCAAGGCAGAAGCTGTATTTACCCTGTTATACTTTTCCCACCTGATATCGAGTCTGACTTTGGGCTCTCAAAGGAGAGTTCAGCAGCCGGTTGAGAATAAGCATCCGTATAACCAGAGGTTTGTATTGATTGCACACGGCTAACCCCATGGCCAGCTCCTGTTCCCAGAGTCAAAGGAAGATAGGGACACCGTTCATTTTGTATCACTCTCAACAGATTCCCACACACACTCCCTTGTCAAGATCAAAGCAGAAACAGGTGGTGCACAGTAGACAGGCCTGCCTGTGCCTCGTAGATGTGGCTTAGAAGACCTGGGCTTCCAGTCTATCAGGGGAGGGATTGGCATGCATTTTTAGATGGATGACAAGTGGGACAACAGCCTATGTTTCGGGGGCAGTAATGGACTGTGCTTTTAAAGGATCGTGTACACCCCACTGCAGTTTGGGCCCTAGGGAGCCATGAGAAGAGGTGCCGTTCTTGACATGGCAGCCGTGTTCTTGCCACCTTCTTAATTTTTGCATTTGCTGATCACTACCAATACTCTTATTTACTTAATATTTTACTTTAAATTGACGTTAATACATCTTTCTCTTTTTACTTCTCATCATAAGCACTATCTGTGAAGTCATGGCTTTAATAAACTGTTTATTTATGTATTTCTTTACTCATTAAGGTAAGTTCGAACTATTAAATTAAAAATTTTGTCCAGGTAGCATCCCCCCCTTTAGTGGTGCCTTTGCCTATCACACTTTTGACAACACTGTAGCAGAAGTCCGTTATGTACTACCAAACTTCTGCAGAATGCTGGCATTTATTCCAGCCCTCAGTGGAAAAACAGGATAAATGTCTAGAGTCAAAAGAATGAAAGGCTCTTGGTTGAAGTGTTGGTAACAATCCAAAATCTGGCCCCAGCTCAGATAGTTCTTGAGCCTGTGTGGACAGGACCGTGCAGGGGAAACCTATCATGATCCTGACTCTCCCTCAGAGATGCTCTTTTGCCCTCAGCCAGGCCTCGGTGCCATCATCACACTGAAGCAGGGAAGGAGGCTGGTGAGTTCAGAAGCCGCTTTGCATAGCTCACTACAGGGAGAGAGTCTCAGAATAGACCTTCTCTGTGGTGTTGTCTGAGGCCAGCGGCTGGGGCCACCCTGTGACTGGGGAGTCCTCTAGGGCACATGAAGGTAGGAGCTGAGGTCAGAGTGAGAAAGGAGACTCAGCAAAAGTATAGGGATTGAAACAAGTAGGATTTGAAGAGAAGATTAAAAGTAATTTAAATGTAAACAGTTTTCTGGTCCAGCTTCCCCTTCGACCAGCCAATACCGTATCTTGGTCCTCTGAGCATCTGCAGAGAGTGTGGGGTAAAGAGGAGGGAAGGAAAGAGGGTGGAAAAGGATAAAAGAGGAGGAAGAAGGCAGAGTGAACAGAAGTTTGGGTGTACTTCATCCCACCCCTCCCACCCCTGAAAGAAGTCTTGGCTTTCTCCTCCACTTTCAGGCTCTTTGCCTCAAAAATAGAAACAAAGTCCATTTGCAAAGAACAGATTCAAGCAAAGCAATGTTTGAACTTCCTTGCTCTCAATTTGGACATGAAGCTACATGTGTGGATGGTTTCATTACTATAAGACTTTCTCGATATAAATAAACCTTCTTCCATATTTTCACTGCTTGTGTAACAATGACTCTTGAATTCATTTCCATTGGAATATAGTGATTTCTCATTTTACTCAAACAGCCAAACAGTTTTCTAAACAAATTTAACAAGAGAATTAATCATGGCCATGTCCCAATTCCTATGACGTAGTACTGATATTCTGTGTTCCTTAAATATAAATATATTAGTTAAAATTCAGAAACTGCTACTTACTAGCATTTGGGAATCCAAGTCTATTTATAAAGATCACACTTACTTAGTATGCTACCTATAAAGACTTCTATTGCCCCTCCTGTAGACTTCCAGAACATCTACAAAATGAATCTGGCCATTTCCAAGTTGATTTATGTAAATATTCATAAGATTTGCATCTTCTAGTAACTATTAATAGCTAAACATCGAGAAAGTCAACAGTTTTTAGATGAACTAAGATGACTACTAAGCTCAGGAAAAAAACCGGTATCATAGCTTTATTATAGACAGTGTTAATCTGTTCTCTTGCGTCTTTATAGGTGAGCTTGAGCTAATCAAGACATTTGACTTCCAGTGAAAACAACTAACCCTACTTTAGATTGAGGGTGAACCAGCTTGGGGATGGGTCACGCTCACATCAGCTGGAATCTGTAGGGCCAGAGGTGATTCTCAGGGCTCCCTGGCCTCTCCCCAAGTCTTAGTCAAAGAAAATGGCCTTCATAAGCCAGGAGGACCATTCCTCGATCAAGGGAATAATAGTGTTTTATTTACACCAGTAACTTGCACAACTTTTGTGAGTTGCTAGATTTTTGCTGACTGTTGAGTCTGCAAACAAGTTTTTTCTAACAACAGATGATGACATAAACCAATAACCTAATTCATCTAGGATCCCTTGTCTACAATTCTGAAAGCCAAAACACTCAGAATGCAAAAGCATTTCTTTTATGAGAGCAACCAACTTTTTTTTATTGTGGTAGATTTTACGTAATAAAATATACCATTTTATGGACAAATTCCTAGACTCCTACAATCTCCCCAAACTGAATCAGGAAGAAATGGAGAATCTGAATAGGCCAATCACAAGTAAGGAAATAGAAACGGTAATCAAAAACCTCCCCAAAAATAAGAGTCCAGGACCAGACGGCTTCTCTGGAGAATTCTACCAAACATTCAAAGAAGACTTAATACC